GTTCCGGATTTTGGAGATTTCAAAGAGTTTTGGGAGTGTTAGGAAAATACCTGTAGAGACTGGAGACCAATGGCCGAGAACGTCAGGTTAAAAATCACTCAGGTTGAATTGTCTGAACCACTTGACAGATGATCAGTGTCAGAGAGTTAAAGTTGATGCAGGAGAAGAGTTTCATAGTTGGGGTCACAAGCCGAGGTCGATTCCAAGTAGTAATAATAGTGATAGCTGAAGGCTGCAGGTAGAAATACTGAGAGGAGCACAATAAACTGGCAATAAGAGAAAGTGCAGAGGCATGGCTTAAATCAGGAAGTGAATAGGAGGAGCAAAGAATTCAAAGTTCAAGACAGGATCATCCAAGGATTTGTTCAGAGAACTGTCCAGTATTCCAGGTAGCTCAACAAAAAGAGACCCTGCCTGCCACAGCAAAGGTCCAGAGTTCAAACCCAGTCTCTGGCATCCTGATATTACTCTCTCAAAGAACCTCACCTGAATGGTCCTCTGTTTGGCTTATTAGGATATCGTTTGTGGAAACGTCTGCATAAATGGGGACAATGCATATTTTGTTCTAGTTCCCTTGAATCTTCTTCTGGCCTATAGCCTTTCCATCTTATTAGGTATTGTAATGTACAGTGATGTATACAGGAATCAAGAACTTTATCCACCAAGAATTCTTCCTCCCCTTGCACTTGGACTGAGTAGGGTGGAGGATGTGTACGTCCAGAAAAAGGATTCTATCTGAAGGGCTTTAAAAGTGCCATATGAAAAATGGCTTTTCATTGAAGAACGTAGCTTTAATTTGTAGACCACAGGGTTAATTTGCGCAATTACTTTGAAAAGACCAATGAACTTAGGATCAAATTTCTGAGAAGGAAAGTTAAGCTGTAAATGTTTAGTGAATAGCCAGACCTTATCACCTAATGAATAGGAAGGAATGGTTCATCTGTGTCTATTTGCAATTTCCTTAGAGGGTTGTTGAACTTTGTGTAAAGTCTTCTTCAGTAGGTCTGACCATTTTTTTGTGGATGAAAGGCAGTAGATAGGTTAACTTCAATTCCCAGAGTAGAACAGAAGGTCTTCCAGAGCTGAGATGTGAACTGTACTCCTCGATCTGATATTATTTCATGTGGAAGGCCATGCAATCTGTAAATTTCTCATATTAGTATTGCTGCAGTGTCTTCAGCTGTAGGAATGCTAGTGATGGGCAAACAAATGGGCCATCTTCATTAAACGATCTACTACTACTACTACTACCATGATAGTTGCTTTGGATTGTGGTAGATCAACAATAAAATCCATGGAAATGGATCCTCATGGCACAGGGAGGGGTTGTCACAGACCTACAGGGAGGGAGCATGGTACTTTATGGCGGGCACAGGTTTCATGTGAGAGAACATAATCCTTTACATCTTTCCGATAGGAAGGCCACCAAAAGGTACGGGGAAGGAGGTCTACTATTTTCCTAATTCCAGGGTAACCAGCTGATTTTGAATCATGCATCAACTGAAAGAACTTTAGTTGTGCCTCTTCAGGGACATACATTCTTCTTTCAAAGGTCCAGTGGCCATCATGAAAGTCCATGTGCAAATTCTCTGGTGGATTGTTTAAGAGTTGATCCATGTTATAAGCATTCTTGACAAAGCATCTGCCTTTCTATTTTTGCATCCTGGTCTATAGGAAACAACTAAATTAATTAAGGCAAAAAAACCCTCAGCAAAGCATGATCCAATTTGCTCCTGCAGGGGAAAACAAATTCCTTCCTAATCCCCCAAGAGGCAATCATCTATTCCCTGGATCTACCTATAAATGTTAGTATCCAGGTCTTTTTTAAAGCAATCCACTGAGCTGGCCAGAACCAACTCTTGAGGGAGTCTATTCCACATTTTCACAGCTCTCACTGTGAAGAAACTTTTCCTTGTTTGAAGATTAAATGTCTTTTCCTGCAGATGTAAAGAGTGCCCCCTTGTCCTCTGTGATGATCTCAGGGTGAATAACTCTACACCGAGTTCACTATATGAACCACAGATGTATTTATACATGTTTATCATATCCCCCCTTAATCTCCTCTTCTTAAATGAGAATAAATTCAGTTCCTCTAATCTTTTCTCATAGCTGAGCTCCTCCATGCCTCTTATCAGTTTGGTTGCCCTTCTCTGTACTTTCTCAAGTTCCCTAATGCTCTTTTTGTGAATTGGTATCCAAAACTGAACTGCATATTCCAGATGAGGTTTTACTAATGAATTGTACAGGGGTAATATGATATCTCTCTCTCTGGAGTCTATACCTCTTTTAACAAAAGAGAGTATTTTGCTCATGTTAGAAACTGCAGCTTGGCATTGCATGCCATTATTAAGCTTGTGATCTACAAGAACTCCCAGATCCTTCTAGACCATTGATTCCCCCAATTGTACCCCCCCCCCCCCCCCCCGTATGTATGATGCATGCATATTCTTAACCCCCAAGTGCATAACCTTACATTTATCAACATTAAACCTCATTTATCAACAACACAGGATTAGAGTGAGCGCACAAAGTACGAAAATATGAGTAGCTGCTAGCATTAAGGATAAAAACCTCCTAATCCTCAGAGTAGGTAGTAAAACGAGTACGCAGCACTCAATATATAAAATAATAATAAAAAAATTATGATTAAAAGGTAAATTGATAATCAAAACAATCATAAAACGTAATGGTACACATAAAATGGAGTGACGAGTTAAATAGTGAATGGATGCCAATGTCTATTATGACAAACCAGATCAATATGAATAACAACTGGTCATAAACTACATCATATTAAGTCTAGGTGCAAGATATAATGCCAAAATCTTTCAGTCCAATTAAATGGTGAATGGATGAAATCAAAGACCAGCAAGCTCAGGAATGCAGATATTTATGGTGGAGACTGGATAAAGTGCAGGTGACTTCTTTGTGATATAAAAATGAAGTGTGCTTAGCACTTACCAGAAGCGCAAAGATTATGCGCATATAATGAATCTCAAATCACAATCGGGGTCCTGGTAGTCATCAAGGATCTGGTCATCACAGGGGTAGAGGGGGGACACCAATGGTTCACACACATCCGGCGGCTCTCCAAACCACGTAATGGAGCAATATCATGTGTAGATAATCGTGAGGATGTTTCCTTGAGCGATGTCAGCTATTTATGGTGATTCGCACCAGGGGGTACTACTCCAACCTTAAGATGGCTTAAAAAAAATGATAAAGCCACCAAAACAAAGGTGTAAAATAGTGTAGTGCGTTTTATTAAAAGTATGAAGAATAAAGTGATAAAATTGACATAAATCCATCATAGAACTAAACATCTGGATGTGCATAAAAGCAGAGTAACTGCAATATGTAGCAAGTAGCAGTAACCATCCTTATAACATGTAACAAAATCAATGTAAAAGTGGCCACTGGGCCCACGTGTAGCCTCAGTGGGGAACGTCAGTATGACAAGGCTAATAACTGACTCGTTTCGTGTACAAACACATTGTCAAAGGGATAGCCCTCTCACTGATGTTCAGATCTATATATAGCCACATGCGAATACTCATTATGAGCACCGCAATGCGGAAAACGAACTGCGCATGTGCGAAGCAGGTGCCATTTTGCCGGAGTCCCGCGTGCACGCGCACTATGTCCGTGATTGCAGGGATGATAGCTGTGCGCATGAAGCTGGAAACCCTGATGTGAGCTTTTTTAAATATAAGTGGGTTGGCAAGCCCTAAAACCACAGTTCTGACTGGTATGACTCGATAAAATTGCTACTACTACTGAGCTGAATTCTCTAACAGACCACAAAGTGTATGGAAGCCATCTGGACAGCATCACAGCCAAGCGGTTGGTATTTTCATTATGGCAATTCATCAACCTCCTTTAAAATTTCCTTAGTATGTATTGTCCTTTTAAAAAAATATTTTCTTAAACAGCATTTCCTATTCCAAACGTTAGATGGTGCTATTGCCAAAGATTCTCTACATCCAAAATTAGAATAGGCGTAATCCAATATTTTGTCACAGAAGGAACTGGATGGCAAGCTTTCAATAAAAGAGAAGCAAAAATTTCAGGAATGACATTTCTTTTATTGAATTATCTTCGACTGCTTCTTTTAAAATTGTAGCACTACCCCCTTAGGAGTTGTTGAAGTTTTGGTACCCCCTATAGTCCTGCACAGCCAGGCAACATGCATTTTCCACAGGCTTGCATTCCGGGGACAGTAAACCGTGAGCTTGGCTTTTAAGTTTTATTAGGGATATTTAACTTGGTTGGGGTTAAGGGGTGTATGGGATGCCCAAGAGAACTGAAACTGAGGACAACTCCTTAGCGACTACACTATATTGCCAAAAGTATTGGGACACCAGCCTTTACACGCACATGAACTTCAATGGCATCCCATTTGTAGTCCCTAGAGTTCAATATTGAGTTGGCCCACCCATTGCAGCTACAGTATAACAGCTTCAACTGTTCTGGAAAGGCTGTCCACAAGGTTTAGGAGTGTGTCTTTGGGAATGTTTGACCAGTACTCCAGAAGAGCATTTGTGAGCTCAGGCACTGATGTCAGACGAGAAGGCCTGGCTCGCAGCCTCTGCTCTAATTCATCCCAAAGGTGTTCTACCTGGTTGAATTCGGGACTCTGTGCAGGCCAGTCAAGTTCCCCCACTCCAAACTTGCTAATCCATGTCTTTGTGGACCTTGCTTTGTGCACCAGTGCGCAGTCATGTCGGAAAAGGAAGGGGCCATCCCCAAACTGTTCCCACAAAGTTTGTAGCATGCAATTGTCAAAAATATCTTGGTATGCTGACGCCTTAAGAATGCCCTTCACTGGAACTAAGGGGCCAAGCCCAAACCCTGAAAAACAACCCCACACCATAATCCTCCCTCCTCCAAACTTTTCGCTTGGCACAATGCAGTCAGGCAAGTACTGTTCTCCTGGAAACCACCAAACCCAGACACGTCCATCGGATTGCCAGACAGAGAAGTGTGATTCGTACTTCAGAAAACATGTCTTCACTGCTCTGGAGTCCAGTGGAAGCGTGCTTTACACCACTGCATCCTCTACGCTTTGTCGTTGTGCTAGTCTGAAGGCCACACGAAGTTTGGAGGTCTTTAGCTATTGACTCTGCAGACAGTTGGCGACTTCTGCACACTGTGTGCTTCAGCATGCGTTGACCCTGCTCTGTCATTTTATGTGGCCTACCACTTTGTGGCTGTGTTGCTGTTGTTCCTAATTGCTTCCACTTTGTTATAATACCACTAACAGTTGACAGTGGAATATTTTAGTAGCAAGGAAATTTCACAGATGTATTTATTGCACAGGTAACAACCTATCACGATACTACACATGAATTCACTGAGCTCCACAGAGACCCATTATTTCACAAATGTTTGTAGAAGCAGTTTGCATGCCTAGGTGCTTGATTGTATACACCTGTGGCCATTGAGGTGATTAGAATACCTGAATCCAATGATTTGGAGGGGGTGTCCCAATACTTTTGACAATATAGTGTATGTATAAGTCTCTATACAGCAAAAAGGGATTTCTCCTGGAGAGCTCTCCAGCCTCTCTTGATGTACCACCCCAGATGAATCCTCTCTTCATACAGCTGTACTGGGTGAATTCCTGGGCAAGGAGACCAAGAATCTGGCACTTTAGATAAAACAGTCCCAGATTGGGGCTAGTCAGGTGTCAGGGTCCTGTCCACGGCAGAAGTTCTGGAAGATCTCGCATTTCTGCCAGTACTCTACATGGCTGCAGAAGTACACATCAGCCTTAGTCTGGTGCCAGACGGCCTTTATAAGGAGGCTCATCACTTCCTCTACTTGCTGGATGATCCCTAGCTTCCCGTGACCTGTTCCTGGTTCCTGTTTCCTGTGATTCTGACTTGTGATTTCCTAATACCGACTCGGCTTGTTCCTGGACCTGTCCACTCTGATTTACCCCTGATCTGACCGCGGCTTGGCTTACGGTACTCTCTCTCTCTCGTTCCTCTGTGAATGATGTCGACTATCCCATCTGACAACGTCCGCTCTGATTCCCACCTGGTACCTGACCTTGGCTTGAATCGACTACCCAGTAAACATCCAAATCCCGGAAGGGCTTGCATACCATGCCCAGGTGCCTCCTGTCTGCAGACCTATCTCCGTGCACCAGCTGTGCGTCTGAGTGGACCACCAACCAGCACTCCTACAGGCGACCTGTGCAACTTTGGGCCTGACTCCCGCTGTCCCACTCTCAGATGGTCCTCTCTCAGGGGACTTGAGTGATCCTCTTTTCCAGCAGCTCTGCCAGGTGGTAGGCCCCTTCCCACTCGACTCCCTCCCAGGCTCTTGTACCACAGCCTGTCACTCAGTCTTCCACCCAAACTCTCCTCATGCTGAGCATGCTCAGTCATGCTTAAAGGCTGCCTTGGCCCCATCCCTAGCCTCCTGCTTGGGGATTGGCCAGGGTCCTCTAAGTGTGCAGGCCAGCCCCTCCTTACCTCCACCCACTGCTTCTAGAATCTTCTCTAGGTTTCTAGTGCAGGGGGAAGTATCAAGGAACTGGCCTGCAGAGCCCTCAGCCCTGACCTGAATTTGACCCACTGTCTCATGCCAAGGTTACTATTCAGCCTTTCTATCTAAAGATTGATAACTAGTTCCTCCTGGCTATCTAGAGGGGCACTACATAATTATCTGTACTGCCTTTATATTTCATTACTGAGACCCCATTCACACCTGAACATTTTTAAGGGTACAGTTGCAAGAAAAAGTATGTGAACCCCTTGGGATTATGTGGAGTTTTGCATGAATTGGGCATAAAATGTGCTCTGAACGTCATCTAAGTCACAACAATAGAAGAACACAGTCTGCTGAACATAATACTACACAAACATTAGATGTTGCCATGGTTTAATTGCACATAACATGTAAACATTCACAGTGCAGGGAGGAAAAAGTATGTGAACCTTTGGACTTAATAACTGGTTGACCCTCCTTTGGCAGCAATAACCTCAACCAAACGTTTCCTGTAGTTGCAGATCAGACCTGCACAACGATCTGGAGTAATTTTGGACCACTCCTCTTCACAAAACTGTTTCAGTGTAGCAATATTCTTGGGATGTCTGGTGTGAATCGCTCTCTTAAGGTCATGCCACAGCATTTCAATCGGGTTGAGGTCAGGACTCTGACTGGGCCACTCCAGAAGGCGTATTCTGTGCTGTTGCAGCCATTGTTTTGTTGAATTACTTGTATGCTTTGGGTCATTGTCCTGTTGCATCACCCATCCTCTGCGGAGCTTCAGTTGGCAGACAGATGGTCGTACATTTTCCTGCAAAATGTCTTGATAAACTCTGGAATTCATTTTCCCATCAATGACAACAATCCGTCCAGGCCCTGAGGCAGCAAAGCAGCCCCAAACCATGATGCTCCCTCCGCCATGTTTCACAGTGGGGATGAGGTTTTGATGTTGGTGTGCTGTGCCTTTTTTTCTCCACACATAGTGTTGTGTGTTCTTCCCAAACACCTCAATCTTGGTTTCATCTGTCCACAGTATATTTTGCCAGTAGTGCTGTGGAACATCCAGGTACTCTTTTGCAAACTTCAAACGTGCTGCAATATTCTTTTTGGACAGCAATGGCTTCCTCCGTGGTGTCCTCCCATGTACTCCATTCTTGTTTAATGTTTTCCTTATTGTAGATGTGTCAACAAAAATGTTAGCATGTGCCAGAGATTTCTGTAGGTCTTTAGCTGACACTCTGGGATTCTTCTTTACCTCATGCAGCATTGTGCGCTCTGCTGTTGCAGTCATTTTTACAGGAGGACCACGCCTAAGGAGAGTAGCAACAGTGATAAACTTTCTCCATTTGTAGACAGTCTGTCTTACCGTGGACACATGAACATCAAGGCTTTTGGAGATACTTTTGTAACCCTTTCCAGCTTCATGCAAGTCAACAATTCTTGATGGTAGGTCTTCTGAGAGCTCTTTTCTGCGAGGCATGGTTCACATCAGACAGTGCTTCTTGAAACCAGTAAACCCAAAACAGGTGAGTGTTTTTTAAGGGCAGGACAGCTGTCAGCAACACATCCAATATCATCACACTGATTGGAGTCAAGGTTGGCTCACTCCGGGCTCCAATTAGCTCTGGGAGAAGTCATTAATCTAGGGCCTCACATACTTTTTCCTCCCTGCACTGTGAATGTTTACATGTTATGTGCAATTAAACCATGGCAACATCTAATGTTTGTGTATTATTATGTTCAGCAGACTGTGTTCTTCTATTGTTGTGACTTAGATGACGTTCAGAGCACATAATGTTGCTTGAAGCATGTCACTGGAAGCTTGAAGAAAAATACATGATCTAAGAATTTAATGAATGTTGAATGTGGAGCAGGTGGTAGTGTGTGTCAGGCTTGAGAGGTATTGAAAAAGAGTGGATGTTGGCTGCCTCTCCCTAGAATCTGCCTCCAGCCAGGGAGTAGAGGGGTCTCACTCCCATCGGGGACCCCTGTAGATGTCGGCCGGTGCCTGGTGAGGGGATTTGGACCGGATTGGTCTCCACATGATGTCCCGGCGGATCATGGCCTACGAGGCCTGTTGTGGCCTACACGGCCTGCGCAAGACCCCTGACCGGCGGATTCGGCTCCAGTTTGACCCCCATCCGTGGACCCGAGGATTCAGGCCTACTGTGGCCTACAAGGCCTGCCGTGGCCTACACAAGGCCTGGACCCGGCCTGTACAGCACCCGGACGTGGCTTGGATCCTGGGCAGGTGAGCTACTGCCTGGAGGAGTTTAGAACCCTGTGTTGCCCCTATCCCTGCACTGGGGCCTAAATCCTTGCTGAGGCTGGTGTTTGGAGGTGCTTTCCCCGGAGAAGAGGAAGATTGATCTGGCCCAGAGGTCCAGTGGGGCGGTCTGTGTCTACCCCCCCCCCCTTCTACTGTGATAATGTTCTCTACATTTTGAAGTCTAGGTCAGGATGCATGGACTGTCTCGTGTAGATTGCTCCTATGTAAACAAATCCCCTGTGGGGGGATGCACTTGCGTAGCCAGGGTCACTGGTCACTTAATCTCCCTGCTCCGCACCACCGGAACAACTACCTTGGCATATTGGGCTCTTACACCCCCACATATTGATACCAAAGGTTGAAGGTGCTTGCGGAAAATCTGGCACATGCCTGAAGATGCATCGCACCCTGCGTTCCAAGCCTAAACATCGGGCTCAGCAAAAAGGCTCCCCGCTCTGGCAGCCCAATAAGATGGTGCCCAGCCCCCCTGAGCCCGATGACACTACACTGCTACTGCCCTTTTTCAAGAACTGACTCCTGAGATCCCCCTGGAAAGACTGGAATTGGACCATATCCAAAGAGCTTTAGCCCCTAAACCCACAGAGGGCCCTCCCAGGGACATTATTATTAAGTTCCACTTTTACCGCACTAAAGAGCGCCTACTACAGGTGGCTCGGAATCGACCGACTTTGGAATTTCAGGGTAACTACCTTCAGTTGTTTGCCGACTTGTCCCCAGTCACAATTGCAAAACGTCGTATTCTAAGGCCCTACCTTCAAATTCTACAGTCCGCTAATACCAAATACAGATGGGGCTTCCCGTTCAAGCTCTCCTATCAAGGTCGTCAGTTCCAGGCTTCATCCCCTGTAGATCTTCGTCGCCTTTTTCAAAAACTGAAATTGGAATTGCCACATTCCCAGACTGAGGAGACTAAGGTCCCTGCACGTTTGCGAGGCTCCCTGTCTTCACGCAAGTCACTACCTCCAAATCAAAGCAGCTCTCAAGCTCTTCGTTCTATTCAGGCTCAGCATTTCCAGGAAGTCTCTGCGAGCTGACATTCTGTATCCAGTTGGGTCACATTTTCCCATTTTGTGAGATGTGGGCTACACTGCCCATAAATGCTCCTGCATAGTCATGTAATATATCACCTCCTTTTCTGAGGTCCACGTGTAAGTGGCTGTGTCAGTCCTGCTTAGATTCTCTTATGCGTGCTACTGATGGTGAGTGGAACTGAATGTGGATCTCCTGCTGTGGGTGCGGCTCTGTTTACTAGGCTGGCCTGTGAGAAGATTCACACTTACAGTTATCCGGGAGTTTCCCCATCTCTGAGTTACTAGATGACCTTAGCTCCTATAACCTTATTAGCTATTTGTAGATCACCTGTTTGTGGAATTTATTAGCCTAAGTTGTTTGCTAACTATTTTTTTGTTTTAGTTTAGCCGAGTGATTCCAGTGGACTACTGCATCCCTCTCCGAGCTGATGTGTGGACTGGATCGTTATCCTGCCCACTACTCAGCCCTTTTGTGGGTTTATCCCCCACAGTTGGTTGCTATGATATTCGCACTAATCTTACTGTGTCAAATGTATATTGTTTGTATACCAGATGGTTTCTTGTCTTCTTTCTCCTTTCTTGCCTTTT